TAGAACCGTCACACAGTACATTCCTCCTGCATCTGTATGCCAACAGAAGGGAAATGGAGCTACCTGCACCTGTGACCATCCTGCATATGTAGCAACTGTTCTTGTTAAATGCATGCACGGAAAATTTAACCTTTTATACCCAGGCATTTACGTCGCCATACTCTGTCTCCATCTCCAGCGTTTTTGTCAAATCTTTTACTTCAGGTATTGTCATCCTTTTGGGGTAATTAGCCAGAAGACGGTATTTTTTCTTTGGAGTTTGATTTTGGCTTCAGAGTACTTATGGTTTTGTAAGTGCTCCAAAGAGCAAATTATCCCACAGGATCTCCTCCTGTAATATCTTCTCCCAGCCCACACACTTGGGCTGCCACCACAGGTCCCTGATCTAGAGTGGTTGAGTCACTAACAGTCCGAAGTATGGAGTTACAGTTTAGGTTTTGGCAGGTGCTTGGGGGGGCACCCTTGGGCAAATGTATTTTATCTTTTTAGGGCCACCACGTTAGGGTGACCCATCTGATATTTACTATTTACTGTACACCCCTTCCATTGTGTGGTCTATATCATCCCAGCTAAGGCAGGGACGGGCCTCTCTGGAGCCACCATCTGGCTCTGCCTGTGACTGTGGCCTTCGATTTCTTAACATTACCACAGGAGAGGATCTGCTATGTGTCACATTGGATGGTTGGGCTATTGAGGTTTTTGTCATATTTATTATCAATTGGACTAGGTCTCATGTCCCTTGATAGGATCCTTGGCTACCTCTTGTCTTATTTATAATAATCCATATTAGAGCACTAGTTTGGATCTAGCCCATATTTCTTATGGGGCTTTCCTTAAAGATTTTCCCAGGGGCTCACACACTTCCCACTGATCTTCATTTTTTGTTTGTGAGGTCACTAGTCCCTTGATGCTGGTATGGTGAGTCCACCCATTTTTAGCAGTTTGTATAGCGGTCTCAGTAGTAAGGAGCACCTGGTAGGGACCTTCCCTATTCAGCCAAAGTTTGGCCTTTTTCCAGGCTTGATTAGTACCAGGTCACCTGGATGGAGATGATGGATGGTGAATTTAAGAGGGTCTGAGCAAGAAGCTTTTTCAACCTTGCTCATGCACAAGGGTGCCTGGTTGCCACAGGCTTATTTTCTTTCCCTCCTTTTACTTAATTCTATATTCTCCAATACAGAAATGAATTTTTTTTGTAATAAGTATGGTAAAATAGAGTAAAAAGTAATGTATAGGAATTAAATTTTTTAAAAATTGATCATATTTCAAGTTGTGATATGCCTAAAAATTTCAGTGAACACATTTTGTCAGATGTTTCTCTAATTTCAAATTGTACTATCACAAAGTACAATTTGTTACTACCAATTATGAGTTAAGAATGATATTATGGGAAAAGGAGGAGACTTAAAATGCAATATAATTTTTGATATTTCTACCCAGAAAAAAAATTAAAAGATAAAAAAACCACATCTTGTTAGCAGCATGAATTCTCTAAAGTCAATTAAGATGACTGATTGCTAAAGAATACATCGTGCCAGACACACTCATTTAAAAGGTTTATTCTCCCCTCACATAGTTCTTTTGGAAAAGTATGAATATTACTTTGAGCCTGTCAACTTTTTCTTATTTTTACAAATAAATTCTTAGTATTAATACTTTGCAATTAAAACTGCCCCTAAATGGGAAAATTTCATGACTTGTCAAATTCTTAAAAGCAAGAGGTTTGGCACTTTGCTTGATTTCCAATTAAACTTCCATTTGCGATGATAAAATTGTTTTTAACAACATGCTTCCATTACAAACAAATTGGATGTCTTCACCTCTTACCCCTTAGATAATATGCAGTAGTGGATTCTGGTTTTACTGTGACTTATTTTTAACTTCCAAATAAATAAAACAAACAATAAACAAAAAACACTGTAGATCTGAACTATGGTAACCTAATATGAAATTATTAAAAATACATGAGCCAGATGCCAACCCTCCAGGGTCTATTATCTGACACAGATTGGTATCTGTGTATGAGAGAAAGAAATGCATTAGAGCACTTCTTTCATGACCATACTATTTAATAACTCACATGATTTTTTTAGGCTCCATAAAACAAAAACCTGCATCTCATGTGAAATTGTTTACAGGCTAACTACTAAAAGACTTGACCTAAACTATAGAATATAAAAAATAGATTAGTCAATCTGTAACAAGCAGAGTGCTCATTAAATTAATATTAGGACAGAAACAATACACAGTATGATCCATAAAATATGTATTAACTTTTGAAGACATCATTTCACTTCATTGGAAGGTTTCTAATATTAATGCATTTTGAGCAGTTGTTGTATTTTGCAATGTGCATGTTCTAATCTGATTAAGAAATGTATTAAGAAACTCAGGTGTTACAATAAGCCCATAAGGTAGTTAGAGATAATTCTAGAAATTTGTGCTCTTTTTTAGCAGGTGAAATGTTATCTTCCCTATCTGCTATTGGGTAAACCAAAGCTAAAAGGTCTCTTGCAAAATTTACACAGGAAGTAGCAGAGAGGTATGAAGTCTAGCCTCCCGATTCAGATTCAGTTCTTTTCCTGATCCACCAAATCAGCTTGACTAGAACTCAAGTTCCTCTTTGTGAGTGAGCTGCAGTCACGTAATCAATGAGCCCTGAACTCTGAGGGTTATTTTTTCACCCAGTGTTTGTTCCTTTGTGAGTCTGTAGTTAGTAGATTTCTGAAATATAAAGAACTGCCATTGAAGTTAATATTCATCTTTTGTCTTTTGGTGCAACCCAGACACAATGGGAACATGCAACCTTTTTCTCACTCCTTGTCAAATACCTTTAAAAATCAATTTATGCTGCATCAGCAAGATAAAGTTTATATATATATTTAACAGAAAGTAAAAGCTTGCAAAAATTTCTCTTCTTTTTTACTATTGGCTATGAAGTCTATCTTTTTTTGTTAGCAATTGATCTGTTTCTTTAATATCCTATAGAATAAGTGTTTATTGCCAAAAAACTGGAAAAAGTAAATAGTCCATAGTCATGCAATTGTTAACCCACTGATAAATTTTGTTTCATTTTTAAGTATTAATATATACCTAATTGCCTAGTTCATTCAAGTCATTAAAAAACATACACTTATCATGGATAATGTATTGCACACCGAGAAGAATTGAAAAATGTGTGTGTGTGTGTTTGGGTGTATGGCATATATGTGGTTCTGACCTTAAGTGACACACAGTTGGTAGTACAAACATAGTGCAGAAAGTTCTCTTTGGAGAATGACATTTTATGTACAAATAAAATGTCATATATAGGTAGGTAGAGAAAGAAAGATACATTTTAATGAAGGTCATGGAAAATGCACTTTATGGATTTCAAAAATGCTTTGCACCAAAATAAATTCATACTTTAATTGCTTTTTCCCACAAACATTTGAAATCCTCATGTATGTGAAGTAAGAAGACAGGATGACATACATATGATGTTATGATGTATAAAGAGCATTTTTCCATTTCATTAAGAATTTTGAAGCAGTTTCATTTAATGGTTGCATAATGTTTTATATTATGTTTGTTCTTTATTTTATTAGACACTTATCTAATAAATATATAGGTTCTTTGTATTGATTTTTAGAAATTATTAAGTAATAAAATCTTGATGCCTTTATTGTTCTTTGTTTTTTGATATTTTTATAATAAATTCCTAAAGAGGAAACATATAGGTCAAATAAATCTGAAAATTTCAAGGTTCAATACTATTGTTAAATTATTCCTGGACAGGCTATGGAAACTTGGATTATCATTAGAGCATATTAGAGTGATAATTTCACTCCTATATCAACCTTCTATGTGCCATTAAAAAATATTGCTAGTATTTTTATCAAAAATGGAAACTCTTTTTATTTACACTTTCTTGTAAGTTTGTATATTTATGACTTATATCACACATATGTAAAGTTTTGTGTCTGATTTTAATAAATTAGTAGCAGATATTTTTCTTAATATATTTTGGAATCTGTTTTTTTATTTATAAAAATGTAAACTATGTATCATTCTATTGTCATAGTTATGGTAACTATGTTTCCAATTTAGTTTGACCTGGAATATTTTTATGTTTTTCTGAGCTGTAGTAACTGAATTCTTTTAGCAGTTAAACTCTGTTTTTTAAAACTTGTTTTGGTAGAATGATTTTTTGATTTGACAGCTCTGTGTTACTCAAATATCACTTTTATATCTATAGTAGTCTCTAATACAGATGGATTTTTTTTCTTAATATGATGTCAGTAGAACAGATTTTTTCCCCCTTAATAATACATATTTTTCTTTCCCCCCCCCTTTTTTTTTTTGCTAGAGTATACATGATCACCAGAGGGACCATGTGCTCACCAGAGACAGAAGAGAGGAAGAAGGAGAAAGCATTCCCCAATAAGATGTGGTCACACCACAGTTGGTGGTACATGGACTCAACCTAAGTGTCCCAAAACTGATGACTGGGTTGAAAAACTGACATATATAGACTATGTAATATTACTCAGTCATAAGAAATTATAGGATCTTATCATTTGACTCAGAGTGGATGAATATGGAAGATTTAATGCTAAGTAAAGTGAGTCAGACTTTGAAAGATATACACTGTATATCCTCACCCTATGGGTACTGAATGTCTGCACTCTATGGCAAAATTTAAAATATCCAAAGATCTGACAGTAGAGAGGATAAGTTTAGATACAAGAGATGGTAAGGGAGGATAGTGGATAGTGTGAAGTGAGTGGTAGAGGGTGGATAGGAGGGCCAAAGGAAGAAACATTTAACAGATAAAATAATGTAAAGTTCTCTATTAAAAAAATTACAGATCTTAGATTTTTGCCAGAAGGCATGGGTACTCACCAGAGACAGGGAGAAGGAAGGGGAGAAATCAATGCCAGAGGGATTGGTCATGCCACAATCCCTTCCCTTCCATTCTCCTCTTGGATTGTGGGCACACATGCACACAAGCTCAGCGAGATTTTCAAGCCAGTGAGCCTGGGACTTGAATTGTGGTCATCCATGTGGAAATCCAGTGCTTTAACCACCACACCACCTGCTGGGCCCCAAATCTGTAATTTTTGTTTTATAAAATTAAAATTAAAAAAATTGTGTAAAGACATATGAATATCGAATAAAGAAACATATAATATTAAGAAAATAGACATTGAATCAAATGTTTTAAGAACTTCAGTTGGCTAACTTTAAGTCTCCTGGTAATAGTTCTTAACTACTTAATGGTGATTTTTTTTTTAAGGGACTTGGAACTGAAATGATGATGGCAATGATTAGTGAGAGACCTCACTCTGAGAATTTCTAGCTGAATATTTTCACAATAAGTAGGAAGCTCAAATCTGGGAAAGTGAGTTTTAACGTATTTGAGGAAGCAACTTTAGATATTGTTTTTAAATACCTATTTTATTTCATTTATTCTTTAGGTTAAGGAAATATCTCATGCTACACTTAGTTTCATTATGCTATGAAACAAGTATTCTGTTGAAACAATGCTCAGTTTTTGTAGTGATGCTCAATAGATGATGCACTTTCCAGTTTGTGGCATTTGGTTATTGCCACCACTTGTACCCGGCATTTTAGGAACCACCCTTTTCTTTGTCTCCTTTTTCTATTTCAGATAAATGCATTTGCTACATGCTCATACTGTGGTATAAAAGAGAAAAGGAGCAATACATACAAAATACTTACCTAAAATCACTTGGATGCAGTAATTTTATTTCTTAGAGGTAAAGAGAAAGGTTTTCTGTACTACTTAATATTGCATAAGGTTATATAATTAAATAAAAGATTTGGCAATAAATTAATAACGTGGCTTTTACTTTATAGCATAAAATCCAGATTTAATTGATCGATTGGGGGAGAAAGACAGACAAACAGATTGGTACCTTTGACAGGGTCTCACCACATTATCCCTTCTAGCCAGCCAGCTCACTGGGCATGCTTAGTGTCTTCAGGTTGACCTGGTCTCTAAACTTGGGCTTCACATGTGTCTCTGACCCTGAGTTTCAGCACACTATGCTTGTTACACTGTGCCTGGGATTTTAAAAAGCAAACAAGAAGAATTGTCTTCCATGAAGCATCACTCTTCTGTCTTTTTCTTTTGAACAATAATTTACTTGTTTTTCAGAAATTTGGTTAAGGCACCTGCAGATGGCATAACAGTTATGTCACTGGACTCTCACACGGCTGACCACAGTTTGTATCCCGGAACTGGTGGCTTGAAACTCATGCTGGGTGTGCATGCGTGCATGCCCAAGATACTGGGAGGAGAATGGGAAAGAAGGGGACACAGTGTGGCCATCCTCTCCTTGGTGGGTGATTTCTCAGTTCCCCTCTCACTGTGTCTGTCTGTCTCTTTCTCTGGTGAGTGCACATGCCCTATGGAAAAAACCTCTTAAAAAATATTAGTCAAAAAAGCAGATTACAGATGGTAGGAGCTAAAGTTCATATCACCATACTAAGCAATAATATATCACTGGTATTCCAAATAAAATATCATTTGACATATGTGATTTATTTGACAGCAGCAAATAAAACAACAATTATTGTTACTATAATTCTTTTAAATTTTATAACTAAAATGAAGATTAAGATAATTAATAAAGTAAAATGTCAATATCAGATACATAAGACATGCATCAATCAATATAGGTATAACTGTTGGAAACCAGCTGTTAGAATAATGGCTATCTTGCTGGACTCCTACGTAGTCGACTGCAGTTTGCGTCCTGGACCTGGTGGCTTAAAACTCACGCCAGGCACGTGTGCATGCATGCCCAAGATCCCGAGAGGAGAATGGAGGAGAAGGGATTGTGGCGTGACACCCACACCTGGGGGGTGATTTCTCGCTTTCTGTCTCTATGTCTTTCTCTGTCTGTCTGGCGAGCGCATGCGCCCTATAGCGAAAAACTCTCCAAATATTTATATATATATATATATATATATATAGGTATAACTGTTTATTCCATGTACTTTTTTATTTAAGTGCAAACCTGGTAAACACACTTACATAATACATATAAACTGTAAATATGGTCCTGTCTTACTACCTCAGCCCCATCCATTCCCTTCCTTAGACATAACCATGGTAAAATTTAGCATGTGGCTCTCCCTACATAGGAAAAAGGCATTGCAGGGAGACATCTGTATCTGAGGTTCTCTGCCCATTTCTGGGACCAATGTGAGGGCTGAGGAGTCCCAAGTTGCAGCCTCCCTCTTCCAACTAAGTTGCCTAGCCCATAACTAGAAAGATAGGAGAAAAACAACTTTTTTATTTCCTTATATTCCTTGTTTTTTTCTTTTTCTTCCATTTTCTCTCACCTTTTAAAAAGGCTTTCTTTTAGTAATTCTTTACTCTCCCCTCCCTACATAGGACAAGGGCATTCCAGGGAAACATCTAAATCTGAGGTGCTCTGCATGGCATGCATTTTTTAAAATAATTTTTCAGTCGATTATTTCTCTTTTTTCTTTTTTTCTGTTTGCATTTTCTTATTCTCCTACCTTACTATATCATTTTGCTGTTCAGTTTCCACCAGTGAGTGTACAGGCTGGTTTATATGCATAGTAGCCAAACCTCTGAATTTGGCTAGGCTTAGAGCTGCACAAAGGAAGAAATTCCTCTTCACAAGTCTAAATTCAAATCTCTCTCTGTGGATACCACGTTGCAAAACACAGTAGAGGAGAGACTTTGGCACAGAAGTGCCTCACACTAAAGAGAAGCACATGCAGTTTCAGAAACCTTCTCTAACAAAATAGCCAAACATGAATACACCACCAAATGACTAAAAATCAGAGAAGAGAGACTGCAGAGTGAGCAGCAGGGAGAAGGCCAGAGTTGCAGAGAACAAGGATCATCTCCTCTTACACGCTTCTGAGCCCTCAGTTGAAACCCCACAGCTCAGTCCAGGTGCATCTGCTCTCCAGAAACCAGGAGGCCTTTGTAATATCCAGTTCCAATGAAAAGTACAGGTTGCTTGGTGAGTGTCAGGGAAATGGAACTGCAGAGAGATTGTAGATCACCTCTTCCTGCATGCCTCTGAACGTTCAGATTTATCTCCAAGAAATTAGGAAAAAACGTTTAATCCATCAGATGACCAGAATCTTCCATAGAAGTGCAATAAACATGAAAAACCAAGAAAATAGCTTTCTCCCAAGGGAAAGGAACAATTCCTCACCATCCACAGACAGTTCAAAGGAACTTGTGGATATGTTAGATAAAGATCTCAGAATTTTTTTTAGAACATAATTTAAAAATATTTTTAAAGATTTATTTATTTATTTATATTCTATTATCATTTTATTCAGTTTTTACCAGTGAGAGACAGGGAGAGTGAGAAAGCAAGCCACCAGGTGTGGGACTTGAACCATGGTCGGCTATGTGAGAGTTAAACCTGAAAATATAAAAAGCTTTTTGCATCTTAAAATCAATCAAAGCACCCTACATTTAGATGCTGGAAAACCCTTGACAGTTCTTCTAATAAGGATAAAACTTTATACTTCATCATCCTTTGATTTTTATTTTCTTTTTCTATTATTTATTTATTTTTACATCACATTTAATCACATGTATCTTTACAGTGTATTACATTTCTTTTTCCAACACGTTTAAGACCTCAGAATTTTTGTAGTGACTAAACTAACAGAGATGCAAGAGAAGAGAGACAAGGAAATCCAGAAGATGCAAGAGAAAAGGGACAATGAGATCCACAGGGTGAGGAAATTCTTCTATGATCTGAAAGAAAAATACACACCATAAAAAAGAATCATTTGGAACTGTTAGAGATGAAGACTGCAATATAGGAAATCAAAATCTCTCTTGAAAGTATTAAAAACAGATTAGGTCATGCAGAAAGTCGAATCTCAGATGTAGAAAATGAAACTTCTGACCTTGAAAAAAGATCACCAAAAAGACTGAGAAAATAACTCAAAAAATGAGAATAATATACAAGAAATACTAGATATTATTAGCTGTCCAAACAAGATAATTGATATCCCAGAAGGTGAAGGAACTAATAAGAGTATTGATAATCTATTCCATGAAATCTTAGAAAAAATCTTTCCAAACCTAGAGGGGCTTTGAAATAGCCATACCCAAGAAATGTAAAGGACCCTAAATAACCCAAGAAGATCTTCTCCAAGGCACATCATAGCCAAATTGACCAAAACCATAAAGATAAGATACTAAAACTGGAAAGAGAGAAACATCAAATTAAGTACAAGGGTTATCCCATAAGGCTAACACAGGACTCGCATCGGAAACAATGCAAGAAAGGTAAAAATGGGAAAATATATTCAAAATGGTAAGTGAAAAACAATTTCAACCAAGAATACTATATCTAGCAAGAGTATCCTTCTGTGGGAAGGGGGTGGGTGAAGGAGTAGTCTGAAGGATATTTAAAAGAAAACGAGGCAAAGCATTAATGGGACAAAGAAATGGGGTCTTATCTGTTGAAGATAATTTTATAGTATTATCAACTGGACTGGGGAGAAATGTACACGTGTTGGAATATTCACTTTGCAAGCTCAATAATGTAATTGAATATATAAAAGAACTTGAAATAAAAAAATAAATTTAAGTAAGTGGTAAAAAAAAAAATTCTCAGATAAACAAAACCTGAAAGAATTTACTAACACCAAACCAGCACTTCAAGAAGTTCTGAAGGGATTGTTATACCAGGAAAACTAAAGACAGACACACAGAAATAAGAGAACCAAAAACAACCAAGAAAATGACCAATTTAATGGTAAGGATGAACCCAGAAAGATCAATAAGAACATTGAATGTTAACTTC